AATGTTTTGAGATATTATTTACTGGCAATTTTTTTGTGTGAGAAGGTTTCATAAAGATTACGATAAACAAAACAAATAAACGTAAGTGGTCTATACATACAAAGAAATACATTTATCTAAATTGTTACAAGCAAGCATGCATAGATAGATACACACACACTAATACCCTTACATACACTAAATAACACAAACCACAAAACATTTTATATACTGCATTGTCAATTTTTTTAAAAACTATGTTGTCGGAGTTGTGTCACTAGCTTTCTTCGTCTCTCTCTCTCTCTCTCTCTCTCTCTCTCTCTCTCACACACACACACACACACACACACACACAGACAAACACTTATTTAGAAAACGCAACTCTCTGGAATATAGAGTTCTGAGAAATCAAGTGGAGTTGAGCTTTGTGATATTCTCTTTCTCTCGCTGGCTCTCTCTTTCTGTCTCTCACACACACTCACAAAGACACACACACACACACACACACTAAAGAAGACGACCAAAAACTTAGATTCTGTACCGATGACTCTTTAGAAATGTTGTCAGCATGCATCTATGTGACTATGTCTCCCGTCTTTCTCTCTATCTCTCTTGCTCCCTCTCTCTCTCTCTCACTCACACAAACCCACAACCTACTTTAGATTCTGCATTGTCGACTCCTTAGAGATATTTTCGGCATGCTTGTCTGTGACTATCTGTCTCCCCCACTCCCCCCCCCCCCCACACACAAACCTACTTTAGATTCTGTATGATCGACTCCTTAGAAATGTTGTCAGCGTGCATGTCAGTAACTCTCTGTCTCCCCACTCCCCCCCCCCCACTTCCTCACAAACACACACACACACACACACCAACAAAGACCGCACACAACCTACTTTAGATTCTGTATTGTCGACTCCTTAGAAATATTGTCAGCATGCATCTCTGTGACTCTCTGTCTCCCCACTCCCCCCCCCTCACACAAACCTACTTTAGATTCTGTATGGTCGACTCCTTAAAAATATTGTCCGCATGCATGTCTGTGACTCTCTGTCTCCCCACTCCCCCCCCCCCCACCTCACACAAACCCACAAACCTACTTTAGATTCTGTATTGTCGACTCCTTAGAAATATTGTCAGCGTGCATGTCAGTAACTCTCTGTCTCCCCCCTCCCCCCCCCCCCACACAAACCTACTTTAGATTCTGTATGGTCGACTCCTTAGAAATATTGTCAGCGTGCATGTCAGTAACTCTCTGTCTCCCCCCCTCCCCCACACACACTCACACAAACCTACTTTAGATTCTGTATTGTCGACTCCTTAGAGATATTGTCAGCATGCATCTCTGTGACTCTCTGCCTCAGCTCCTTAAGCTCCGTCTCCATGTCTCTCACCTCTTTCTTCATCCTCATCTGTGACTCACCCACCTCCTCCTTGTAAGAGGCCTTGAGTGCCTCGTACTCTCTCGCTTTGCCCTGAGGATAATAAAATATTTATTATTGTGTGAGTCTTGATTTATGTACATTCAGAACTGACTGTCTGTGTCGCAGGTGAAGTAATGTATATCGTTTCGTGCATGTCGGTTAAGTAATGTTATCTTTTCCAACTTTTCAGTCAGGTTATGTTTTCTTTTCTTGCCTTTCGGTCAGTAGGTACTACGAGTTCACATCTTCCTTTCAACTCTGCTCATACAATTTAGTAAGTTCTATATTAAGCCCCCCCCCCTCCACATTTCTTATTTTCATAACAGATATGTAGACCCAGGGGTCCTGCAAAGTCTAATTTGAGAGCCGAGTTCGTGATTTTCTGTAATTCTTAAGAATTACCGCAAAGACAAGCTCTCCCGTAAGGAAACTTGAGATCGCCTATTTGATCTGGGGATAAGTAAATAATCTGTTCAGAACTTCGCCTGAACATTCCATGATAAGAGATGTGTACATGTCAGTCCTGAGTGGGCTCAGTGACAAGATTGTGGCAGGAATTCACCATGCTAAACACCATGCATGGAGACCTGCTAAATCCTTCTACCACATACCTGTGTCATTCTACAACACACCTGTATCATTCTACCACACACCTGATTCCCACTACCACACACCTGTATCCCACTACCTCACACATGTATCCGACTACCTCACACATGTATCATTCTACCACACACCTGTATCATTCTACCACACCTGTATCCTACTACCACACACCTGTATCATTCTACCACACACCTGTATCCTACTACCTCACACATGTATCATTCTACCACACATCTGTATCATTCTACCACACCTGTATCCTACTACCACACACCTGTATCATTCTACCACACACCTGTATCCTACTACCACACACCTGTATTCTACTACCACACACCTGTATCCTACTACCACACACCTGTATCCTACTACCACACACCTGTATTCTACTACCACACACCTGTATCCTACTACCACACACCTGTATCCTACTACCACACACCTGTATCCTACTACCAAACACTTGTATCCTACTACCAAACACCTGTATCCTACTATCACACACCTGTATCCTACTACCACACACCTGTATTAGTCTACCACACACCTGTATTAGTCTACCACACCTGTATCCTACTACCACACACCTGTATTAGTCTACCACACCTGTATCCTACTACCACACACCTGTATCCTACTACCACACACCTGTATCCTACTACCACACACCTGTATCCTACTACCACACACCTGTATCCTACTACCACACACCTGTATCCTACTACCACACACCTGTATCATTCTACCACACCTGTATCCTACTACCACACACCTGTATCATTCTACCACACACCTGTATCGTTCTACCACACACCTGTATTCTACTACCACACACCTGTATTAGTCTACAACACCTGTATCCTACTACCACACACCTGTATTAGTCTACCACACACGTGTATTAGTCTACCACACCTGTATCCTACTACCACACACCTGTATCCTACTACCACACACCTGTATCCTACTACCACACACCTGTATCCTACTACCAAACACCTGTATCCTACTACCACACACCTGTATCCTACTACCACACACCTGTATCCTACTACCACACACCTGTATCCTACTACCACACACCTGTATCATTCTACCACACACCTGTATCCTACTACCACACACCTGTATTAGTCTACCACACACCTGTATTAGTCTACCACACCTGTATCCTACTACCACACACCTGTATCCTACTACCACACACCTGTATCCTACTACCACACACCTGTATCCTACTACCAAACACCTGTATCCTACTACCACACACCTGTATCCTACTACCACACACCTGTATCCTACTACCACACACCTGTATCCTACTACCACACACCTATATCATTCTACCACACACCTGTATCATTCTACCACACACATGTATCCTACTACCACACACCTGTATCCTACTACCACACACCTGTATCATTCTACCACACACCTGTATCCTACTACCACACACCTGTATCATTCTACCACACAATTATCCTACTACCACACACCTGTATCCTACTACCACACACCTATATCATTCTACCACACACCTGTATCATTCTACCACACACCTGTATCCTACTACCACACACCTGTATCCTACTACCACACACCTGTGTCCTACTACCACACACCTGTATCCTACTACCACACACCTATATCATTCTACCACACACCTGTATCATTCTACCACACACCTGTATCCTACTACCACACACCTGTATCCTACTACCACACACCTGTATCCTACTACCAAACACTTGTATCCTACTACCAAACACCTGTATCCTACTATCACACACCTGTATCCTACTACCACACACCTGTATTAGTCTACCACACACCTGTATTAGTCTACCACACCTGTATCCTACTACCACACACCTGTATTAGTCTACCACACCTGTATCCTACTACCACACACCTGTATCCTACTACCACACACCTGTATCCTACTACCACACACCTGTATCCTACTACCACACACCTGTATCCTACTACCACACACCTGTATCCTACTACCACACACCTGTATCATTCTACCACACCTGTATCCTACTACCACACACCTGTATCATTCTACCACACACCTGTATCGTTCTACCACACACCTGTATTCTACTACCACACACCTGTATTAGTCTACAACACCTGTATCCTACTACCACACACCTGTATTAGTCTACCACACACGTGTATTAGTCTACCACACCTGTATCCTACTACCACACACCTGTATCCTACTACCACACACCTGTATCCTACTACCACACACCTGTATCCTACTACCAAACACCTGTATCCTACTACCACACACCTGTATCCTACTACCACACACCTGTATCCTACTACCACACACCTGTATCCTACTACCACACACCTGTATCATTCTACCACACACCTGTATCCTACTACCACACACCTGTATTAGTCTACCACACACCTGTATTAGTCTACCACACCTGTATCCTACTACCACACACCTGTATCCTACTACCACACACCTGTATCCTACTACCACACACCTGTATCCTACTACCAAACACCTGTATCCTACTACCACACACCTGTATCCTACTACCACACACCTGTATCCTACTACCACACACCTGTATCCTACTACCACACACCTATATCATTCTACCACACACCTGTATCATTCTACCACACACATGTATCCTACTACCACACACCTGTATCCTACTACCACACACCTGTATCATTCTACCACACACCTGTATCCTACTACCACACACCTGTATCATTCTACCACACATGTATCCTACTACCACACACCTGTATCCTACTACCACACACCTATATCATTCTACCACACACCTATATCATTCTACCACACACCTGTATCATTCTACCACACACCTGTATCCTACTACCACACACCTGTATCCTACTACCACACACCTGTGTCCTACTACCACACACCTGTATCCTACTACCACACACCTATATCATTCTACCACACACCTGTATCATTCTACCACACACCTGTATCCTACTACCACACACCTGTATCCTACTACCACACACCTGTGTCCTACTACCAAACACCTGTATCCTACTATCACACACCTGTATCCTACTACCACACACCTGTATCGTTCTACCACACACCTGTATCCTACTACCACACACCTGTATCGTTCTACCACGCACCTGTATCCTACTACCACACACCTGTATCCTACTACCACACACCTGTATCCTACTACCACACACCTGTATCCTACTACCACACACCTGTATCCTACTACCACACACCTGTATCCTACTACCACATACCTGTATCGTTCTACCACACACCTGTATCCTACTACCACACACCTGTATCGTTCTACCACACACCTGTATCCTAATTTCACACACCTGTATCGTTCTACCACACACCTGTATCCTACTACCACACACCTGTATCCTACTACCACACACCTGTATCCTACTACCACACACCTGTATCCTACTACCACACACCTGTATCCTACTACCACACACCTGTATCATTCTACCACACACCTGTATCCTACTACCACACACCTGTATCAACTCGTTCTTCTCTCGCTCCATCCTCTTGTATGCCTGCTGCAGCTTTCCCAGTTGGTCCTGATCCTTGGACCATCCGTTCTGGACTTCTTCCAGTTTCGATGTTAAATTCTCGATTTCCTGTTGTAGAAACGAAATTTACATCACTTACAAATGTAGATACAGTGTATGCAGAACAGTTGTTCCTAACTTTTATGGCTTTACTTAATATGTTTATTCATCGAGCCCTTCTTATAGCGAGAATTAAATATATAACTATGTTTTGAATTTGAAATAAGTTATAATTTACAAGTGCACAAAATAAAAATAAACAAAATCCGATCACAAATCATGTTAGTCGGCTGTGTCTTGACCGAGCTGTACCCCTGAGAGTGATTCACTGAACCCCTGGGGTTCGATCGAACCCATAGTTACAAACCACTGATAAAGAATACATAATTGTATCGTCCATTCTAACTTGTTACATTGACTAAATACAACTTTCAAAATACTGGTAACACCGAAGCTACAATAGAAAATTCCCAAAACATTAGACATACATATATATAAAGTTAAGTTCCCCTTTCAGACCTAGCTACCAATAGAGAAGATTGAGTAAAGTTCTTATGTTTCTTGACCTCGGCATATGAAGGGATCGTGTAGTCAGCATTACGACCAGCCGCCTTTACTTTCCCTAGCTTGTCAGGTGCCCATTAGAGCTGGGTGGACTCAGAGACGTAGTGAACTCATGAATCCGGACCAAGGCATTCGAACTAGCAATTTTAGAGTTCTATCTCTCGAACACGTCGACCCAGTTTGAAAATATACAGTAAACTTTACGGGTCGACCATAATAGACGTCAGCTTTTTTGACGATTTTTACCCTCCCCCTCCGTCACACGTCGTCACAAAAAGCCAGACCGCCCCTCTAAAATGATGTCACACCTCAGCCTGCAACCCCCCCCCCCCCCCCCCCTCAAAATTGCTGTTGAATTTTTCTTAAAACATCGATATTTTTTTTCCAAAATCTTGTCAGAACTCTGTCAACATAGAGTATTTTGATCAATGCATATTACAATTTATTAAAACCTTTTTCTAAAACTCAAAATAACGGCTAAAACTCGTTTTCTAACATTGCTTTTTTTTAATGCAAAAAAAGAAACGTCACACCAGACTTTTTTTCAACGGGGGGAGGGGGTGAGATCTTGAAATTCTCGTGTGAGGCGGACTCAAATTTCCATGGGGGGGGGGGGGGGCGGACACTGTTAAAAGTATATATGTTCAATATAAATTCAAATTCGTTCGGGAGAGGGGGGGGGGCGTGTAACTTCCGCCCCCCCCCCTCGAAGAGATGCCTGTTAGAAACTCTGATTTAGAATCCTCACTTAACGTAGTCAAGAAACACGACTCTGGTACAGCTAACGACACGACTTACCTCCCTCAGCTCTGCCTCCTGTAGCCGGATGTGTTTCTGCTCACGCAGCAAATCCTCCTTGGCGGCGTCCAGCTGTCTGACCAACTCATCCCTCTCCAGCCCCAGACCCTCCATGTTCCTCAATTTCACCTTCAGAGCCTCGTTTTCATCTTTCACGTTTTTCACCTCCATGCACTGTGTTAGGTATGTATTGAAAAAAACAATAGAATCTATATATATATAATTCTCTTCTTGGAGACGCTAGAAAACAAGCTGTAAGCGGGCCTTGCAGTCCCCTCTCTTCATCTCTAGGAAGTCAGGTGAGCTGTGGTTCACGCTAAATGTTTACAATCGTAGAGCCGGGTTTAGTGGCGGCTATTAAGGGCAGATAATTTAGTTTGAAACGATTTTAAACTTAGGGGAGGTAACTTAGAGGAGGCTGCTTTCACACTGATAGTGTTTTAAAGCAAATATTTTCGGTTGCAGGATTGGTACTGTCGAATTCACAAATTATGAATTACTGAAAAGTAGAAAATAAAACAACTAAATAGCGGCGTATGAGATGTCGTGGGTCGGCTCCTGGTATTATATTTATACAAATAATATAGGTCTATTTTAGCCGGTAAATTAAAATCGATTATACCCCACTCATCTTTAGTCCCCAGATTAATTACCGCCTTGGGAATTAACCCCTCTCTCTATACAGATTACATATTATAGTTATTTTTTTCTATATCAAACTAACACTAATTATAACGCTATAATCTCTAGCCAAACCTTGTCAATAATTAACTAACAGGGGGAGGTGGATAATGTCCTATATCAGTTCCTTGGGTGTGGGTACTGTATAATGGTGTAATTGACATAAAGGGGTAATGTCCAATTTAAGTGACAGCGGTGTCGGATGGTGGAGTATACGAAGACTAATCCGAAAGTCTCTTGTTCAAATCCGGGTTCAAGTCAGTGGAACGTCTCTGATTAAGGAAAGTAAAGGGGAGGATGGGGAAAGTGCTGACCAATTTATCCCTTAAGCGCCGAGGTCACAGAAACAGGTGAACTCTACTTCACTTATCCCATGAACTGTCAGGTTTGAAGAGGTACTTCGATTTACAATGTCCAATTCCCACATAAAATAAATATTCTTACGTAAATTTAGGCTGATACATATACATATATTTAATAACATATTATATAAGATAAGATAATAATAATACACACAGTTATGTTTATGCATGTCCAACCTATGATTTTTATATTTTTATGTTTTGCTCGCGGAAATGACAGCGCACTAGAACTTGAACCATAGCTTCGCCGCTTACAACCCTTGATACGCAACTGACAACACTAGCAATACCACCCCACCTACACCACTGACCACAACCAATTAACACCCGACTCACATCTTCCCTCGTGACGCCGTAGCTGGCCATATTCTTCAGTTCCTGCAGCTTGTTCTGTAGCTCCGAGTCTAGAGCAGTCAGCTGGACCTGCTTCCTCTTGATGTCGTCATTCAGCCTGTCAACCTCCTTCAGGGCGCTGCCTTTGTTGAACTCCAGCACCATTAACTTGGACCTGCACACACGGAGTTCTTCTTTTTAAAAGTTTGTTCTTATAAAAATGCCTGCAGTTGCCTACTACTTAGTCTCTTATCGATTTCTTTTGTTTTTTTAGTGTCGGTTTTAAAGGAAATGGTTAGCGTTAGATGGGTACCTAACTCACGTTAGGAAAAGTAAAGGCGGCTGGGCATATTGCTGACCATATTATCCCTTCATATTCCGAAGTCACAAAAATGTGAACTATACTTCATTTGCCCTATGGATCGTCACGTTCTAAGAGGAAACTTTAATAGTGTTAAGAATACGATCAGTTGTTGGTGCTATACAAGGGTTAGGGACATTGCTTTGAATACGAATTGGTAAAGGATTATCTATGGATTATGAGTAGGCTCGGGATCGAGGTAGGATAACAGTCAGACTTATGATAATGCCTGTGAGGTGGTTAAAATTATAGCCACACCTGCACTTTCCTAAATATCCCTGTGTAAATGTATGTGTTTATGATTTAGGATTATGATAAGGCTCAGGATAGAAGTAGGAAAAGAGCTAGACATATAATACGCCTGAAGTAGATTGTTAAAAATATAGCAACACCTACACTTCTCTAATATCCCTGTGTAAATGTATGTGTTTAGGATTAAGGATTATGATAAGGCTTAGGATAGGAGTAGGATAACACCTAGAGATTGGGTCGTGACTGGGGTAGCAAGGGTTAAAAATATAGCCACACATAGACTTTCCTAATACCCCTTGTGTTTAACAAATTTCTGTATAAATCCTATTACCCATATTCCTACTCAAATACTCCATCTTGTTTCGAATCATGTGTACAACGTGTCAGTATACAACTATGTTCCTAAGAGTTGCTAGGCAACAGGCTCAAGTTTGACGAGACTTACTTGGCGTCTTCAGTCATCTCCCTTGTGTCTATCAGAGCTCTCTCTGTCTCGGTTAGGTCTCGTCTGGTCTTCATCAACGCCTGTCTCATCGTGGTCAGCTCGGCTAGCTCAGCCTGGGGAGAAAGTGTTAAGTTTTTAGGTTAGCTAGCTCCGACTGTGAAGAGAGGGTTAAGTTTTAAGCTCAGCCTGCGGAGAAAGGGTTCTTCTTCTTCTTCGTTCTTAATTGAGAATATGGTGGAGGATTTAGACCTCAAGTCCAACTTCGTGAATGAACCGGACTGTGGTCTCCAGATCAGCAGGGGCCCCATATAATTTTTCCCTGAGTGGGGTGAGCAGGGGCCAGTGTCTGAATCGCGCCTGGCTATACAAAGAACATTCCTGAAGGACGTGCTCTGTATTTTCTGGGGCCTTGCCACAAGGGCACATTTCGCCACACCCAACCTTTAGTTTTTTATGCATGTGTTGATTTAGTCTGTTATGCCCTGTTCTAAGTCGAAAGATTATGCATTGTTGTTTTCGTGTCAAATTATAATAACCATCATCTTTATTGTTGTGAGGGTGTGTGTCAGACCACATTTGCGTTTGTTTGTTTTTTATTATTCTTTTTATTTCTTTTGGGTGTAGCGAAATTTCCGGTTGTGGTTTCTTTCCCCCAATTTTTGCCAGCTGGTCCGCAATCTCATTATCCTGGATCTGGCAGTGGCCCGGGATCCACTGCAGCACAATTCTGCTGCAGGTGGAGAAAGGGTTAAGTTTTTAGGTTAGCTAGCTCCGACGGTGGAGAGAGAGAGTCAAGTTTTTAGGTTAGTTAGTTCAGCATCTGGAGAAAGTGTTGTTTATTTTTCTCTGTAGGCCTATCTAGCATTTGTTTATTTTTTATGTGTCTAGTAGTGAAGCCACGGAAAGGCCAGTTAGGGAAAATAAATTATCATTGGTATACAGCTAATCAAGTGAGAAATAATCACTAATTATATTATTTCGTTAGATGAATATAATACGTTTTTGTATCTTTGTGAATAAAAAAAAACCCAATATTAACAATTCGTTATCTAGAATTATTATACTTTTGGTTAAGTATTTTACAAAGCTAAACGTTCAGAATGACTTCAAGCTTATTTATAGAATAAGGGGAAAACCCGTTAAAATAAAACCTACCGATTGATCAGGTACACCGGCAGACCACATCATGGAGGGGCCATCTCTGTGGACAGGGGGTGAAGCAGACCTGGCCCGTCTGTCCCTCTCAGACTCCCTCTCTCTCAAGGTCAGCGGTCTGTCTAGCCTTGACCTCGGCCTGTCTGCACCGTGCTCAAGGCGATCTGATGGATTTTCTCCGTATCTGGAGAAAAGAAATAAATTTTTAAATAATTAAAATAAAATTCAAAAAAATATTTTTAAAAGTTGTTGCTATTTTGACATCCATAAATGTAGTTTAAATTATTTTTTTAGGTTGTGATTTTAATTAACATTTTTATGCAGAGGCGTAGCGGCCCTTTCCGGCGCACGGGGACAAACTTTCAATTTGGCGCCGCCCCCCTCCCACCCCCTATATATCTTTTTTATATTTATAATGCAAAACTGCAGCTAAAATGAGCTTTTCATTTTTTTACACCCAATTCTGGCGCCCCCTAGGGTCGGCGCTAGTGTACATATGTACCCCCCCTCGTTACGCCTCTGTATTTATGTGTATATTTGTGACGCTCAATAAATTAGGTTTAAATTTGTGAATTAATAGTGTAGCTGTTTACGGACAGAAAGTCCACTGGACAGAGAAAGCAGAGTTAATCTGTTTCACGGCCACGGTTTATGAGGCGATATTTTGGTGGTCATCTATCCAGGAACTCATTTTAGCTGGGTGGACTCAAGCGCGTACACCGAACTAGTGACTGTTGATTTATTAGACGTACACTCTACGTTTATATGTTATACCATACACCTTTTTTGTTTGCTTTCCTTGATGCTTTATTGCATGTATTAATTGGCTATATACAATGTGAATGTTTATCAAATATATACACACATTTTTTTATTTAAAAAATTAAAGGTTGTTTTTAATTTTTTACAAACTTATCAACGACTATACAAATATTACTTTTTTTTTCTTTCAAATTCAAAAGCAAAAATGTGTATTTTTAAAATTTTCTTTATGGTATGAACATAAAATGTCCAGAGGATTTATTTTATCACACATAGCTGATCAACCTGATTCTGAGGACGTACATGATCCTTTTGTCATTAACACAGTTAGTTTTAGATATTTTTTTAGCTTTGTTTGTCCCTTGAGATTATTCAACAATTGTATTAAACCCTCCCATCATGTTTTATAAAGATATTATTTTTTTATACCGCCGGATATACACACTATGTATACACTATGTAGGCCTACATATGTATGTATGTATATACATATCAGTTGTTCAACCTTAACTCGGGTTCCATCTAAGAAACACACCAGACTTACATGATTTACGATTAGACTTTCTGAGAACGATAGAACTATAGCGAAGCTTTTGTTGAATGCACATATGAAACTGGTGGGGCTCGGTACCAATGCTTTATATATATATATATATATATATATATATATATATATATATATATATATATATATATTTATTTATTTATTTATTTCTCACTCTCTCGCTTTCTCTTTGCCTCTCTTTGTATTTTTAAAAAAAATATTAGTTATCGAAACAGCAAATAAGAAAATTTATCACTTTAATTTAATAAAGATTTCGATACATTTAAAACTTGAAAATAAACATAGCTTTTAGAAAATCTTCTTTATCTTATTTAGGAAAAATAAATACACAAGCATTTGTAAGTTGTTTTAAAATGGAATGTTTATTTGTATACATGCAGGTAAAATTTGTGGAATGTTTGATTGTGTAGACTAGAAAAATTACCAAAAATATACACACAACAATATTGTCTACACGAATAAAACGTTGACAACACAATTAAGGCAGTGTTTACACAGTTCAGCAACACAGCTGTCGCTAAATCTGTTTACCACAGTAAAAGGCGGTGTTCAGACAGTTCAACAAACCAGTTGTCACTACTGTTAACTGGAGCTATTCTTACGTTGTATTAAAAAAAAAAAAAACTTCATATAAATATTTTATCACATGTGATAGGCAAAATAATGGTTTTCTTTGAAAAAGTAAAAATTACAATTTACTCATAAACATTGAATATGTTAATAAGTACTAAAAAGGTAGGAAAAAATTACAGAATATTTTAAAACAACATATATATTCCACACCTTTCATATGATTTCATAAATTATTTTGATTATCTATAGGCCTACAGGTGTTATTTTAAGTTCATTATTTAAAAAAAATATACTTCAACGTTTACCACACGTATAATGTAATTAATGATAAAGTCATGCTCAAAATATTATAGTTGCAATAGAAACTATACCAAAAGAAACACACAAAAGAGAATAGAATTAATATAAAAAGATCTTTTTAAATAAATTACAAAGTACAAATAAAATATATGTTTTTGTAAAAATATGTTTTAGATATAAATTCGGAGACAACATCTTATAAACAAGATGAATGAAGATATATATATGTATATATATATATATATATATATATATATATATATATATATATATATATATATATATATATATATATATATATATGTATGTATGTATATATGTATATATGTATATATATACATACTTTACGTGACTTATGAAAGACTGAGAATCACTGATAATTACCAAAATTTACATAACATATTATGTATATATATGCATGCATAATTTTTAATCAATACATTATAAATTAGGTAGAAGTTAAGGCTCATAAAAATCCCACAGTAAAAACTAATTAAGAATCAGTTAACAACGGCGTATTTGTTAAAGCATTTATGTGCAACATATATCACATTTGAAATTGAATGGTTATGAGTGTAAGGATTGTTTCGAAAAAGAATGACCCAAAGATCACAACCATAAATATATCACTCAGACGTTATCTGTTATAATACAAGCCTTGTCTTAAGATTATGTACCATAATGTTGGAGGAATCTACTTACAACAGTGGTGAGTTATGCTAATTTTTTTTTAATATGTCACATTTGAAAAAGTCGTGCGTGTTATTTCTATAGGGTGAAGAGAGGGGGTCAAAAGACCCACAATAAATTTTCTGAACAGCTTATTATTTGATTTTTTTGTATTGTATAATCATCTCAAATAATACATGATTTTTATTAATAAAAACTCAAAAAATAAAACGATAGTTAAAGTTAGGGCTTCATGTATTCATAAGTTAACTATTTTTCTACATGAAACCACTTTTATCTCCATATTCATGTGGCCTCGCCTAAAAAATACAACTTACTCTAAACTCTTTGTTGATAAAAACTTACAAAGTCCCCAGTCAAAACTGACTATTAAACTATCTTCTTCTCCTTTTTCTTATTCCCGTTCATGCCCAAGAAACATGGGGTAGATGAAGTAGAGTTCATCTGATTCCCTAACGTAAGCTTGGTACCCTTCAGAGCTGGGTGGACTCAGGGACGTTCCACTGATTTGAATCCGGATTCGAACTCGAGACTCTAGGGTTAGCAGTCTACATATCTATCGCTATGCCACGCCGTCCCATATTAAACTACCGTTCTACGGAAACTATTTCCTAGCTTATAAAAACCAGCTACTTCACAGTGAAACGATTAGACTTACAAGAATAGAAACATTTTCAATAGCGCTAACTAACAAAATAAAACTTCAATAATTGCATTATTTCTTAAAACTAATTACCAGAGCCCATGTAAATTAAAACTGACAAAGACATCAATCATTAATAAAATCACCCCAAAACAGTAAACTTGAGTTATTACTTGAGTAAAAAAAAATATCTTTAGTGACATTTTTTTTTTAAATAATAAAGGGACTATATTTTTATATGCCCAATAGACAACAAAGATTCATTAGCTATCAAAACTCATTATTCCACAAGAAAAAAAACCCACTAAATTAGTCTCCTTTTACTTAAAAAAAATAAAAATAATGCTTCTTGTTTTTCTAACTTTACTTAAAATTTTAAACTTTTTTTCTTCTTTTTCTGTAACATTTATATTCTATAAAAAAAATTGCGCTATAATCTCCAACTCAAAAGGGATGATTAATTTAATGCCCAGGCTTAACGAACTAGATTAACGCTGAACTTAACGACACGACATGACAATATTGATCGACCAGACAAATGTTAATTCATAGCACAGTGCTGTGATAATTCGTCTCCACGACAACGCCGCACGTAACCATAGAAACGAAGTAAACACATTGTTTATCAAAGGTTATAACGTGTTATATATATGTTTCAAATGGTGAGAAAGAAAGACTAAAAAAAAAACAACTAGTTTCAATGTTTTCAAGTACAATTTCATCTTAAAAATCAGTTACAAAAGCCCATTTTTTATTAAAGTATTTTTGTTTCATTAATATCATATTTAAAAAATATTTTGATTGTGAGTGGTAATAATGTTTCGAAAAATAATGATCTAAAGATCACGCCATTAATAAATAGTTCAAATGTTGAGAGTTATAATACACAACTTAATCTTAGATGATATAAGTACTTTTCAAGAACCCGACTCACAACTATTGTGAGATCTGTTCAGTCATTTTTTTTTTATTTAAAGCTGATCATATTTTAAAGTTACGCGTAATTTTAATATGAACACTAGTCGGCCTTTGTTATTCCATAACAGGCTGTTTTAAAATCCTTATATTGCTCTGTAGAGTGGAGTTTTTACTTGCTGAATATTATGAAAACTAAAAAAGTGAATCGGACACAACAATCTGTAAATATGGACAGTGTGTATACAGCTTGTGTTTTTCATGTGTTTCTTACATACATAACTTCTACTTTGCTTTATCTATACAATAATGAGTTAAACAGAAGATCCATTTGTATGTTAAAATGTAATTACTGATTGTATATATAATAATCAAACACACTGACAATATATCATGATGGAAATAATGATGGTATGTATATATAAAATAGTTTTATACACTATAGCACTCATAAATAATATGTGCTGGTAGTATACAATACAGGCACACAAAGTAAACCATAATAAATCATCAATACTACAATGGTACACTATGATGGTACGCAAAGATGGTACGCTATGATGGTACACAAAGATGATACATTATCATAGTAATCTATGACATAATGATGGTACATAATGATGGTACACTTTTAAGGTATACTTTGATGGTGCACTTTAATGGTATACTTTGATGGTACACTTTTAATGTATACTTTGATGGTACACTAGTATGCAACACAATAATGTCACACCCA